CACTAAAGAGTGAGAAAGGAATTTTAAAGAGGACTAAATGAGATTTCCTAGCATTAAACACCTCTCAGTTCCCAGCATTTAAAATAAATTAACTGTCTGAAATGTCATCAAAGAGACCAGTGAAGTGTAAACATGTATCATTATCAATGCTGCCAAAGGTTGAATTATTGAAAAAGAAGTAAGTATGCATCTATCATGACAGGCAGTATGTGAAGCTTACAATGTTGGGTCGTATGATTGAAAGACCTGATCCTATTGCTGTTTTAAGTTTTTAACTGACATTGAAAGAGAGAGCATTATGGCAGTCTGTAAAACATTAAAGGAACGAAGACCAGTGATTTACACAGCACACTCCTGCATTGATTTCGGCTTCATCAGAATGCTGGAACAAGTATTTCTGGTTTAAGAACTCTGTCCAAAGGAATGATGCCAACCTTTCAGTTGCTTACCATTTTAAGAAACCTTCTTGCTGTTCCAATGGAGCTCAACAGAAGGTGGAGGAAAAATATCTCACTTTCTGCTTAAGGCAGTTTATAGCCTCTCGGACTCAATATTCAGTTCGACAACTCTAGAGCATGACCTCTTTACTCCATTTTGCTTATACGCTACTCCAGGAGTGTCTTGTGTGCCTCATTGACTTTGCCATAGCAGAATGGACCAGTACTTTCCTTTTCACACCTCCAATTTACATCTGTTTTACATATCTCTCCTTTACCACCACTATCACTGCCTTTGTGTTTTGCTCTGGACACCCTCCCCAGCTGTTCCAGTTGCTGTTTATCCCCTTCTGTCAACAACATAAACACCACTATTTTATACTCCTTTCGGTTCCAAAGAAGAGTCATACTGGACTCAGAATGTTAACTCAGTTTCTCTCACTGCAGATGCTGCTGGACCTGTTAAGTTTCTCCAGAACTGTCTAGTCTTGTTTCAGACTGTTCTTGGTGGTTACAAAGCTGTGGGGACACACAAGTGCAAGCTCATGGTCATTGGCAAAAGCGTGAATCCAAATGGTAAAAATATTTCACATTAAATACCATGACAACATGTTGGATAATCACTAACTTATGCCATGAGTGGTTCGAGAATATTTTATGCCAGAGGCTAGAGTACCTTGTTTACATTGGCTTGGAGAACGCTGCCAATGATTAACATAAGAGTGGTGGGCGTGTGGAATGCGCTGCCGGCAGTGGTAGTGGAGTCAGATACTTTAGAGACTTTTAAGCGACTCTTGGATAGGCACATGGAGGATAGTAAAATGTAGGGTATGCAGGGTAGATTGATCTTAGTAGGATAATAGGTCAGCACAACATCATGGGCCGAAGGGCCTGTACTGTGCTGTACTGTTCTATGTTCTATGTTCTATTTGTTCTGCCAACCTGAAAGCCAGTGTTGTGGGTATATTTTTATCCCCTAAGTATCTCCATTGATTCAGTCTTGCAATCAGGGTATCTTACAATCTCTTAAGAATAAGTACAGATCTGAACTTATGTACTGATTGCTTTTGGCAATTTTTTCTGGAAGGTCTGTGATTAGTATTTTCGAAAGAATTTGACTTCAAGGATGCAATTTAGATACAAACTAATTTCTGGAAAAAGGAACTTCATTCCAGCGAGGCGTTGTGGTTGGAGCTAAGAAATAAGAAAGGGATGGTGACATTATTGGAGTGGTACTATAGGCCCCCAAGTAGTCAATGGGAATTAGAGGAACAAATATGCAGGGAGATTGCGGAGACTTGCAGAAGAAATAGGGATGTCATAGCGGGGGTTGTAATTTTCCTAACATAGACTGCAACTTCCATAGTGTTAAGGGCTTAGATGGGGTTGAATTTGTCAAATGTGATCAGGAAAGTTTCCTCAAGCAGTATATATTGGGGGGGGAAAGGTGTGTGGGGTGGCACTTTGGGACCAGTGACCATTGTTCTATTAATTTTAAAATAGCTATGGAGATGGACAAAACTAGTCCAGAGGTTCAAGTTCTAAATTGGGGCCAGGCGAATTTTGATGGAATTACACAGGTACTTGCATGCGTTGATTGGAATAGTTTGTTTGCAGGCAAAGGGACTTCTGGCAAGTGGGAGGCCTTTAAAAGTGTGATAGTTAGAGTTCAAGGTCTATATGTTCCTGTCACGGTGAAGGGCAAGGTTGGCAGGAGTAGGAAACCCTGGATGATATTGAGGCTTTGACTAGAAAAGAAGAAGGGGGCATAGATCAGGAACAGGCAGCTAGGATCAGGGGAATCCCTGGAGGTACAGGAGTTTAGTGAAGAAAGAAATCGGGAGGGTGAAAAGGGGTCAGACTTAGCTTTGGCTGAGAAGATTAGGGTGAATGCAAATAGATTCTTTAAATATATTAAAGGAAAAAGAACAACTAGAGGGAGAATAGAACTCCTCAAGGACCAAAGTGGACATGCGTGTGTTGAACCGCAGAGATAGGTGACGTCCTCAATGAATATTTCTCCTCTGTGTTTACCGTGGGGAAAGATATGAAGACTTGGGAAGTTGGGGAAGTTAGTGGCAATATCATGGGGACAGTCTATATCACAGTAGAGGTGGTGTTGGAAGTATTAGAATGTATGAAGGTGGATAAATCTCCTGGTCCTGACCAGATATATCCAAGAATCCTGCAAAACGCTAGAGAAGAAATTGCAGGGTTTCTGGCTGATATATTTGCATCATCATTAGCCACAGGTAAGGTCCTGGAAGACTGGAAGATAGCGAATATTGTGCCCATGTTCAAGAAGGGCTGCAAAGAAAAATCTTGGAATTATAGACCGCATCTGTGGTCGGTAAGTTACTTGAGAAGATTCTGAGGAAGAGATATACATGCATTTCGAAAGATAGGATTTGATTAGGAGTAGTCAGGATGGCTTCGTGTGTGGGAGATCATGCCTCACAAATTTGTTAGAGTTCTTTGATGAAATAACCAGGAAGATTGATGAGGGCAGGGCGGTAGACATAGTCTATATAGATTTCAGTAAGGTCTTTAATGAGGTTCCACATGGTAGGCTGCTCTGGAAGGTTGGATCGCATGGAATCCAAGAAGAGTTGGCAAATTGGTTATACAATTGGCATGATGGTAGGAAGCAGAGAATAATACTGGAAGGATGCTTGTCGGACTGGAGGCCTGTAACTAGTAGTGTTCATCTGGGATCGGTGCTGGGCCCATTGCTGTTTGTTATCTATGATGATTTGGATGACAATGTACAAGGCATGATTAGTAAGTTTGCGGATAACACTAAAATGGGTGGTATTGTGTGCAATGAGGAAGGTTATCAGAAATTGCAGCAGGATCTTGATCAACTAGGGAAGTGGGCCGAGAAATGGAATTTAATATAGGTAAGTGTGAGGTGTTGCATTTTGAAAAGTCAAATCAAAGTAGGAGTTTCATGGTAAATGGTAGGGCCTTAAGGAGTGTAGTGGAACAGAGGGACCTTGGAGTTCAGGTGCAAGGTTCTCTGAAAGTGAAGTCACAGGTAGACAGGGCAGTGAAGAAGGCATTTGGCACACTGGCTTTCATCAGTCAGGACATTGAATGCAGAAATTGGGAAGTTAATTTGCAGTTGTACAGGACGTTGGTGAGGCCGCACTTGGAGTATTGTGTTCAGTTTTGGTCACCTTACCATAGGAAGGATGTTATTAAACTGGAAAGATTGCAGAGGAAATTTACAAGGATGTTGCCAGGACTCAAGGGACTAAGTTATAGGGAGAGTTTGAACACTAGGACTTTTTTCTTTAGACCATAGGAGACTGAGGTGGGGATCTTATAGAAGTATAGAAGATCATGAGAGGCATGGATTGGGTGAATGCATTCAGTCTTTTTCCCAGGGTTGGGGAATCGAGGACTAGAGGGCATCAGTTTAAGGTAAGAGGGGAAAGAATAAATGGGAACCTGAGGGGGCAACTTTTTCACGCATTGGGTGGTATGCATATCGAATGAGCTGCCAGTGGAAGTGGTTGAGGCAGGTACATTAACAACAATTAAAAGGCATTTGGACGAATACATGGATAGGAAAGGTTTAGAAGGATATGGGCCAAGTGCAGGGAAATGGGGTCAGCATGGATAGACATTTTGGTCAGCATGAACCAGTTTGTGCTGAAGGGCCTGTCTCTGTGCTTTGGGACTCTATGACTCTATGATTCACTGTGAAGAATTGATGGAACAGTCTCTGGACAGCCGTAATGTTTGAGGACTATCCTCATTCAACTCAGGAGACTGACTAAGCTAGATTCAGAGTGACTCCCTGCAGTGCTTGAGGTGATGAAAAATCTGAGAAAAAACGATTTACAGGACCGGATGGATGCCAAAAAAGATGCACCAGTCAAGAAACAACTGACTAATGATGAGATAATGCAAATGGTACTGCAGGGTGAAAGTAAAACCAGAGTAGCCAATGGTGATGAAGAAGATAAGACTGAATTTGAAGAAGGAATTTCAGTTGGCCACAGATTTTATAGTTGGATTGAAGCAAAAGCATCTCATTTCTGGGCAAGATGTCATATCTGTGCACATGATACAAGAGAAATCCATCAAAGAAAGACCAAGATATGTTGGACCAACCAAGCACCAAGATTGGTTCAAGATGATAGACAAGAAGAGTGGTCACCAGCACTCAGCAAGTACGTGTACAAGTGCAGTAACCCCATGAGGGGATAGTCCATCAAGGGTTATCATCAGAAACTGCAACAAGGGAAATGCCTTCGTACAAGTCAGTCCCTTTGAGGTAGTAGAAGAAGGGGCAGGCTAGAGAAAGGTACAAAAATTCCCATGCTGACCCTGACAGGTGGTCAGGAAGATACAAACTGTATATGGAAATTTGCAATATCCTCTCCCTTTTTGAAAAAAAACTCTTGTTCAGATCAGTTAAGCAGTGTGACAAGAAAAGAAATTGGTTCATTTCTCATAACTTGATCATTATATATAGAGTAGGCAAAGACATGGTGGAGCTATAATTTATTTCACTTATGCATTCAGAGTAATTGAATTTTTCTCATTCAACAGGAGAATGGGGAGCTCCAGGAACTAAAAGTTAATGGCAAAAGTCAGCCGATTGTGCCTGTATCTTCCAAAGAAGCTAGCACACGGTACCTGGATGAGCTAGTAAGCGATCTTCAGGTGAGAATATATTTTGATGTAAGAATCCAGGACATTTTTTTTGTTCTGAACGAATAGTATTTGTCATCTGGTTGAAATGTTTGGTGAACAATTTGCCAAAGGCACTTTTGTTATGTAAATTTGTTCTCATTCCATGTTTCAAACTAGAAACTCCAGGTTTGAAATGGTTGCTACAGATACGTTTAAACATTGGTATTTGTCTGGAAGATCTGTTTTCATTGGAGATATTGTTTGCAACTTTTCCCATCAGATATTGCTTAAATTACATGCAAACCTATATTACATAGACCAAAATGGTCTTGTGGTTTCAATAACATTTAATGCGTGACCTGCAAAGGTCTGTCAGGCTTCCATTGACAACTTGTTCCTTCTATAAAGATGAAAATCACATGTCTCAGGTGGAATGCACATGGATTATGTAGAAAAGAGTAGAGAAAAGCCATACCTTCTGGCTCCGAAAGAACTACTTATCCTTAATTTTATTTTTGGCAATTTAAGCAATGGTGGCAGCTGCTATTTGAACTATAGGAACAGCTAAAGATGATGTAGAGGAACATCTACCCTCCTCAACCAAGACAAATTTCTGCAAGGAAGTCCACACCAGGAATTAAGGCTCATGTTTGCATACGTTAGAAGACTTGCATCACATTTTGTCAGTTGCCCAAGAGGCTTTTAACACTGTTTTTATCATGGTGGCCTCTATAATACTGACAGAAATCAGGTACATGATTTTGCAACCTAAGACAGCTTTCCACCCATTTTTCTGGCAGCTAATTGATACAGTTTCTATTTCAATGTAACTTCTACAATTCTAAAATGAGTGGAAAACTGCTACTTTTTTAAAAAGCAGTTAAATAACAAGGGAATTCAAGTAAAAATTTAAATTTCTGATTAAATTAATCTTTTATCTACCTAATATTTTGGTTGCATCAAATTTATGCTATAAATGCTTTTTCTATTACTAGTGTGAATGCTTCATTGGTGCTTCTTTCCATATAGACTGTGTTATTGATTCTGAAATTGGTTGCTTTCAGCATCTAGTGTATCCACATTAAGTTGTATTTTCATTATATAACAGATGGATGATTTGAATCATTTTTTAGCCATTGAAGCAAATCCCAATTTCCTCGCAATTATATTCAATTACAGCGATGCTTTATTTTCATTCATTCGTTCAAGGTGTCACTTGCATGATCAGCATTTATTGCCCATTCCTAACTGCCTCTGAAGGTGCTGGTGAACTACTGTCTTGAACCAATGCTGTCTGAGCAATGAGACAATTTTGATAGGGAGGGACCTACAGGATTTTGACCAGTGCTAATGAAGAAACAATGACATATTTCCAAATCAGGAAATTTTCCCATGTGCCTGCTGCCTTTGATCTTTTGGATAATACAGGTTATGAGTTTGGGAGATGTTGGTGACTTGCTACAGAACAACTAGTAGATGATATACACTGAAGACTCTGAGCTCATGGTGGGTTGAGTAAATGCTTAAGGTGATGGTTGAGGTGGAAATCAAGCAAAGTACTTTGTCCTAGATAATGTTGAGCTTCTCCTGGTGGAATCAAACTTGTACAGACAATTGAAGCTTATTCTGTACCACTCCTGCCTTGTAGATGGTAGAATGGCTTTGGAAAATACCTAAGCTCTGACCTGCTCTTGTAGCCACATTTATGTCCTGGTTCACTTAATCTTCTGGTCAGCGGTGATGCCCAGGATGCTGATGAATGATCCAATCTGCTAATACCAAGGAGAGGTGGTTGGACTTTGTTTGTTGGTGTTGGTCGTTGCTTGGCACCTTGTACAATGTATGTTACTTGCCACTTGTCAGCTGAAACCTTAATGGAATTGGAATGTTGCTGCATATCAGCAGTGTTTGTTTCCTTAACTGAGGAGTTGCGAATGATACTGAACACTGTGCAAACATCGGTGAACATTCCCACTTCTGGCTTTTATAGATAAAAGGATGAAGCAACTGAAGATGAATGTGTCTGGGATACTGGCCTGAAGAACAGGTTCTTGTGGTGCAGCAGTGGTGTTCCCACCCTGAGGAGCAGCTGCAACAATGTCCTAGATTTTAGATAACTCCTGTTCAACAACCCTTCCTTTGTGAAGGGCATAACGTCAGCCAGTAGAAAGGTTGTCCCTGATTCTTTTTGGCTTCAGTGTTACTAGGTGCCACTTAATGCTTCGGTCAGTCAAATGTTGAAAGTGACTCGATCAGAAGGTGGGTAGAAAACACAAAAAAAAATTGCTAAAAGGCACATTTTATTTTAAACAGCTGAATTCAGAAAGATGCATCGGATGTAATTTTAATGACGTACCTTTACTTTTGGGCAGGGTCTTGTCATTGGTGATTTTAAAATGAATCTTTGGTTTTAATCTTAGGCTGACTTACAGAATGGTCTCACGAAGGTCCATGTGCAGGAACGTCGGCATCTATATGGATGGAATGATTTTGAAGTGGCTAAACCCGAACCAATTTGGAAAAAGTACCTTGGTCAGGTAATGCTTAGCATGTATGCAGATGTCATGTAAATTCAGAAATTATCATACAGATGTGATGAAATCAAGAAAGAAAGTTGACTTTATGGTCTACATTTAAATGCAGTTTTGGTCTTGAGTTCGTTGACATTCTCCCTGAAACAGATGTTGCAAAATGCAGTTTGACGTTTTTCAGGCACTTGGGGCAAAACGTTAGTGACCAAGAGAGAGTGGGTTTGGGGTTTGGATTTAAAGTCTAAAAGTGCTTGTGGGTCAGGAATCTGACATGATTCATCCCACTTCTGGGTTTGACTGGGTGCTGTTTGGAGGCAAGCAGGAAACCACCGTGGAGAAGTTGAGTAAATAAACTGAAGGTGAAAATCGTCAGTAGTTTGCATTTAACCCAGGATTTTGGCTTTAACTGCTAGCAAATAGGTTTTCAAGGGTACAGAGATTGCCAGAGTTAACAAGATGAGATGAAAGCAGCAATACATTGCTGAATGAAAAGAAGAAGCTTGAAAGCCTTTAACTGGTGAAATTGTGCAGCTGAGGGTCAGCCTACACTAAACATTTGTGTTCGCATTCCTTGTGATTAGAGCCTAATACACTATTTCATGAGTGATTTCCAACTTTGGAAAGTCTATCCATCAGCTTAACTAGGGGTTAGAGAGTGGTCATCTTTGAACAAACAAACCGTTTTAAAAAGGGTGGCATGGTGGCTCAGTGGTTAGCTCTGCTGCCTCACAGCACCAGGGACCTGCGTTTGATCCCACCCTCAGGCGACTGTCTGTGTGGAGTTTGCACATTCTCCCCTTGTCTGCGTGGGTTTCTCCCGGGCACTCTGGTTTCCTCCCATAGTCCAAAGATGTGCAGGTTAGGTGGATTGGCCGTGCTAAATTGCCCGTAGAGTTCAGGAATGTGTAGATTAGGGGGATGGGTCTGGTTGGGATGCTCTGAGGGTCAGTGTGGCTTGTTTCCACACTGTAAGGATTCTGTGACATTTTACCTACTTTGGACTTTAACCACATTGATCTGAATTTCTCTGCTGTCAGTTTTTGCTGGAGAATATCCAAAGCATGGACCTCTAATGAGGAACTGGAGCAGCACCATCAACTGTCTACTCATATTCATATATTGCTCACAGGACAGAGGGGATGGTCTCAGAGTTCCAGCCTGTAGGAGAAGATACTCCCAGCAAGAGTACACAGACACAGGATCAGATTCCTCAACATGACTGAGCAGTTGGGCCTCAGGAGATTAAGGCTTTAATGGTCATTCACTGCTGGTATCTGCAGCTTCTCTGAACAAGAAAATGGACAGTAAGCTAAAGAATTGGGATATTGGGCAGAGAAAAGCATTGGCAAAGAGGACTGTTTTAAGGAGGTTCTTAAAAAATAGAGAGGCAGAGGTGTTCAGGAAGGTAATTTGAAAGCATTGTGTCTGGATGGCTGCAGGATGACTGTCAACACACTTGGAAGAAAGAAGATGCTAAAGCGGAGTCCATGGAGGCTTGCTGTAAGGCTAGTAAGGGTACAAATAAAAGGGAGTGATGAGATCTTCAAAAGACTTATATAAAATTCAAGTCAGGGGAGCATTGCAACAGTCACTTGTGGAGGAACCAAAGTTATGAATCACAGTTTTAGCAACTGATGGGCTGAGGCGAAATATGTTGTAACAGTAAAATAAGGGCATTCTTAGTCATTAGAGAGAATGTAAACTCAGCAACAAGTCTTAGCAATTTGGATACCAAAGTTGAAACAAGTTGGTTCAGTTAGAGATAGTGGTCAGGGTAGAAATGCAGACAGTGTTGACTACAAAATTTATAGCTGACTAAAAGCATGGCTTTGGTTTACCTGCTGTCTAACTGAAGTAATTATATTTCATGGTGAATGTTGCGCAATACACCTTGAATTAGCCAACTCACGGCCAAAAATGGCCTGGCTCCCGAAGCAGTGGTATCAGTAGGAGGCCCTCCAGCTTGGTAAGAACAGCAGCCCACAGTTCAGGTAAGAGAGAGAGAGAGAGAAGCTGCCTGCATCTTGTGCTGCCCCATCCCCAACATGTTAAATTGTCAAATTAAAAATGAATTCAGTATCCAGGGCACAACTGTGGAGGGGAATCTCAAAGAGGGCCTCAAAGTTTGCTAGGAACCCAGGCCAAAGGATCACATCCAGATAACTGGTTTAGCCCCAATACCTCTGATGATAAGTATAGGCTGTTAATTTCCCTTAATTTGGCTACTTGCCACCTACAGGTAGATAGCCCATCCTTCTCAACCTCAGGAAATTGGCCCACGGGTATTAGGAGAGTGGGGATGGGTGCCAGCATCACAGCTGCCCACCTTTGGCGAAGATGGGGGCACTGGGTGAAAACTCAGTCTCATGTCGTTGCATGATTATGGCTAAGGGTCCACAGGTGATGAGGGACAGGAAGGGACCAAAGAGATGTCCTTGGGGAACTCCAGGTCGGGAAGAGCAACATCTGCTTGAAATGATCTGGTTGCATCCTAAGTGGAAGCAAATGAGAGTTTAAATTGTATAGGAATAAGTCCCCTGCAGTTATGCTTGAGAGGAAATGTTGAAGTGACAGAGATATTTGATTTCATTTGGGGTTGTTGCTCATAAGGAGATTTTCAATTGCTTTAAAAGCTAAGCAGATTTTGCTTAAGAATACAAGGTGCAGAGCTGGATGAACACAGCAGGCCAAGCAGCATCAGAGGAGCAGGAAAGCTGACATTTCGGGCCT